GACTACATACAACTAGTTCAACTGTAAATTGATGAGATCTTGGTGCCAGACAAGGCAACGATGGCGAAGAACTCGTCCGAACAATTACCATGAAAGTATTTATAGAAAAGATACAGGGAGGCAAATTTACAGTGGTAGAAAGTGACTGAAGCCGAGACTCCAGATCAGGACCGATAATATTGCTGATTCTTCTTTGGATTTTATCAAGGAGTTCAGGTTAAATAGTATGGGGACCGGACCATATGTGGCAGCAATATTCTAAGCATGGACGAATGGTAGACTTATAGACATGTAAGATAAATTCTGGAGAGAAAAAAATGTCTTCCACGACAACCGAGTCCTAGTAATGGATTTAATATAGTCATTCCACTTCATGTGAGTTGAGATCATTTTATTAAACTTTTTTTTTTTTTATTTTCCCACACTTTTCCGCCTTTTAGATATGGTCGGGCTTTCAAATTGGCGCGATACGGAGCTGGGGTCGGTACAATTTGGCTTGATGACCTCAGATGCACGGGAAATGAGAGTACTTTAGCTGCATGTCGACATTCTGGCTGGGGTCATACGAATTGCGGACATCATGAAGACGCGAGTGTTATCTGTTCTTATGGTAAGTATCGTATTTAATAGTACAGTGTAACCCGGATATAAGAGACCTGGATATAAGAGAAACCCGGATATAAGAGAGATTTTCTCTGGTCCCAAATTAGAGCCTGTGTTAATGTATATAAAATAGACCAAACCCGGATATAAAGAGATTTTCTCTGGTCCCAAATTAGAGCCTGTTAATGTATATAAAATGTGATATATATAAAATAGACCAATCTTTCCGGATAACCCCCCCGGATATAAGAGAGATTTTCTCTGGTCCCAAATTAGAGCCTCTGTTAATGTATATAAAATAGACCAAACCCGGATATAAGAGATTTTCTCTGGTCCCAAATTAGAGCCTGTGTTAATGTATATAAAATAGACCAAACCCGGATATAAGAGAGATTTTCTCTGGTCCCAAATTAGAGCCTGTGTTAATGTATAAAATAGACCAAAAAATAAGAGAGATTTTCTTCTGGTCCCAAATTAAGCCTGTGTTAATGTATATGAAAATCAAACCCGGATATTCTTCTTTATCCGGTCCTGACAACTCTCTTATATCCGGGTTACAATAAGTGAATAAGACTCCCCCCCAACAACAACTTTCTCTACTAAAAAGGCATCCAAAAAAATGTCAACCGGAGTGTAATCTATTGTGGCTGTTATTTGGTGTGTGAGTGGGGGTGGAGTGGCTTGTTTGTTATTTATTTGTTTCGGTTAATTTATTTTACTTGTTTTTCATTTTGTATTATTTATATATATATATTTTTTTTTTTTTTTTTTTATTAACGTAGCGTAAAGTTTTGTGGGGGATTTGCTTAGGTCACTTATTTAATAGTTTGTTTTAGTCTGGGAAGATCATTAAGCCAGAATAGATTACCTACAATGCACCACTGACATATATATATATATATATATATATATAAAGATATTTTTGTAGGTACAAAATTTAATGATCGAAATAAAAGTATAAAATTTAATATTACAAGACATATTAAAACAATATTAAATAATAAAAAAAAAAACTCAACAAGGGGGGGGGAAGCAACCGGTTTCGCTCCCGCTCGTCAGGCTTCCACGGGAGATTCAAAATATATATAATAATCGAGGAAAATTTCAGCCTTCGCGGCCTGACGATTGCGTCCAGCATAAAACAGCCTGTCGTCTCTGAGTGTTGACTTCAATGTTCACTTTTATATTTACATACGCTCTCTCTCTCTCTCTCTCTCTCTCTCTCTCTCTGATATTTAGCACTTTATCCCATAAATATAGCACACCTTAAAACTATATTTCTTCAAATATAGATATGTCATTCGCAGGCAGTACTGTTTCGCTGTATCACAGTTCCTCAGTGCGACTAGACATCCGAATGCCTCAAGCCAGGATTGAAACACTGAAACCCAACCGATTTGGTGTCAGTCAGTTTCTACCACTGAGCTATCTTCATTCGACAGAGAGAAACAGCTAAATCTAGCGTATTGTTCTTACAAATGTAAACGAATGCCAATCAGCCATAGGGCTCGATTCATTTTTCTGAAGATATCCTGTTAAATATATTAATTTAAATGTTGATGTTTGACAGTACATTTTTTTCTATTTGTTGGTTTAGTAAAGTTCTCAGCTTCTTGAACACAATCTATGGTTCGTTGGGGACTGTCTCTGAGAGGGTAATCAAAACACGTCCTGTTTCAGAAAGATCATGAGACTAAAAGAGCAAAAAGAGTTTTGCCTCATTTTCTTCATATGTTGCTTTATATAACACCATCTAGCGGAACTTCCTTGGCAGACAAGTGGAGTAATTCCAAATATTTCATTGTTCATGACAATCATATCCAATCTTTCTGTTTCGATGATTTCGGAAAACCAGAGAATTTTGATTTTTCTAAGAAAGCATCCGGTTTCTGCTGATAACATTGCTTTACACGGTCGTAAACATTTGCACAGTTCTCAATTCCTAGCTGTTCCTACTCTATCATGCCTGTCTCATTTTTTTTTTTTTAACCAGTTTGCTACATCTGATCAAATTTCTTGTCTTTTCAGCCATTCCCAACCGGACATGGGTCCCTCCACCGGTGACCACGACAAAGTCGAGCAGTAAGGATTTTACTCTTTTTTTTTCTATACAAAAATATTAATAAAAAAATATATTAATAAAAAAAAATGCAATAACAAAAAGAAATCCCTAATCTTGTGCTGTGGGGCACAAGATTAGGGATTTTTTAAAAACAGACATTTTAAAAGTATATATAAATATATAGACAAATATATTAATAATCTAGAAGAGTAAAAGTATAGTGTTCTGGGAAGCATCCTCACGGGAGGCACAACATATTGATTTTTAAGAAGCTTTGTGATTGAAACATCTTTCTTGTTACATACTTTGCGTGGCAAGTTCTCTAAGCCCCCTTTTCTCGTTATGTAACACGGGAACTTTTGACCGTTACTCTCTGATTTCAAATGTCTTCTTTGTACCTATAATTCTTAATCGAATTCACCCTAAGCAAGGCTGTAAAGCCACAAGGGGTTACTGGGCGTGGAATAATTCAAAAACAGAAACATCGATCCTACTGATTTCCTGAAGGTTGTTGCTCATAATTACGAATTGAAGAAGAAATTTCTAAGATTAACTAGATTTATAAGTTTTTTAGATTTTTTGAAATACAATATTTTTACTATCTGTCTATATTTCTGAGATGAGGTATTATGTACACTATTTATATTATTTGGACTATTGTCCTCCTCTTTGTTGCCATATTTATCACAACGTTTCGACCTTTCAAGTAAAATTTGTCTATATTTCTGATATGAGGTACTCTTATGTAATAATTATTTACATCATTCGGACTATTTAATTTCTTTGTCGCCATATTTATTACAACGTTTCGGCCGTTTACGCTCGGTCTTCTTCAGGTGGTTGGAATGTCGAACCAAAGTGTGTGAGTTCAATACTCGGTTAAGGCAGTGGATAACTTGGAAGGGGAATTAACAGGAGATAACTGATATCCATTAAACATGGCATGTGGAACTAGAATAGTCTACCCCAGTGAGCGAAATAAAGGGTTAAGTTCGACATTCCAACCACCTGAAGAAGACCGGAGCGTACAACGGCCGAAACGTTGTAATAAATATGGCGACAAAGATGATGATAATAGTCCGAATAATGTAAATAGTGTACAATATTTTAAATTTAATTTAGATTATTCCATTAGTGTTTTAATAGGATCCTTAATTCATAACTGCTCATGGCGTATCAAATGTAAACAAATGACGTCATATATTAAATGGACAAAGTCCGACAATTTATTTATTAAAGACTTTTTTTTTTTTTTATCTCTAAAAAAATTTTTTGTATCTATAAAAAGAACGTTAAACATAAAAAAAAATGTCTTTAATAAATAAATTGTTGGACTTTGTTCATTTCTTAATATATGACGTCATTTGTTTACATTTGATACGCCATGAGCAGTTATGAATGTACAAGATTCATGGAAGATTGAAGTTTATAAGCAGTAAATTCAACCTTGCCAACCGAACTCGGCGTAAAATACGGTTCCGTATAGGATGCAGGTTCGAATCCTGTCAAAGGCCGAATATTTTCTATGAAAATTTCTCGGACATTCAGACCGGTAAATGTTATTTAATACTGTTTATTATAAACAGAGCATTTACTTAAATACTTGTATCTATAAAAAGAACGTTAAACATAAAAAAAAGTCTTTTAATATATATATATATATATATATATATATATAATGATCCCATACAGTTAAAAATATAAGTTGAAAATGCAACTAGAATATTTATTTTGAGTAACTTTAACAATTTCACACTTCTGATTTTCAAAAATTAAATTGAAATGGCCAGACGTGAGGCTATGTCATGATATGTCTCGCAACTGATTGAAGCTGGAGAATTCTTTACATTTAATGAAAAAAAAATGATGCTCAGATTTCTATCTATCTATCTATGCGGTTCACCATTTTTACTATTTTTCTTTTTGCTTATCCTGAATTTTCTCCGACAACTTTTGTTCCAATAGATTTGTGTATATATTTATATAGTTGGAAACCATCTTTTTGACGCACCATTTCACATACATTTGATAAACTTTACCAATTGTTTTCATTTTGTCCACTTCAGTCGGCCAAATGAATCTCCGGCTTGTTGGCAGTGAAAATTGGAATGAAGGACGCGTCGAGATTCGCATAAACAATATTTGGGGGACGGTATGTGATGACGCCTGGGACGACAGGGATGCAACTGTCATTTGCATGATGTTGGGATACATGTAAGTATATACAGGTATTTTTACTATGGAGTAAAGTCTATTACGACTGAACGTTTCATCCTTGTTGGGACACTTGTGATGGGTGACATTTTCATTATGTGCTCCGTGCATACTAATATTAATGAATTTTTTATATATCTATCAATCCGTACCTGTCATTCCGCCCGTCCGTCTGTGTGTCTCTCGGTACCTGTCATTCCGCCCGTCTCGGTCTGTCATGTGCTTCTCTCGGTACCTGTCATTCCGCCCGTCTCTCGGTACTCAGGTCTGTCATTCCGCCCGTCTCTCGGTACCTGTCATTCCGCCCGTCTCTCGGTACCTGTCATTCCGCCCGTCTCTCGGTACCTGTCATTCCGCCCGTCTCTCGGTACCTGTCATTCCGCCCGTCTCTCGGTACCTGTCATTCCGCCCGTCTCTCGGTACCTGTCATTCCGCCCGTCTCTCGGTACCTGTCATTCTGCCCGTCGGTACCTGTCATCGGTACCTGCGCCCGTCTCTCGGTACCTGTCATTCCGCCCGTCTCTCGGTACCTGTCATTCCGCCCGTCTCTCGGTACCTGTCATTCCGTACCTGTATCGGTACCTGTCTCCGCCCGTTTGTTGTATCTCGGTACCTGTCATTCTATGCCCGTCCGTCATTCTGTCCGTCCGTCTGTCTGTCTGTTTATCCGTACCTCTGTCTGTTTATCCGTACCTGTTATTTCGACCGACGATCTCTCTGTCCGTTCATATCAGCCAGCCTGTCTCTCCGTCCGTATCAATGAATCGATCTATCTATTCAGCCAAATCTATGCGCGCACATATATATATATATATATATATATATATATATATACACATACACTATTTACATTATTTAAACTATTGTCCTCATCTTTGTCACCAAATTTATTACAACGTTCCGGCCGTCTTCAGGTGGTTGGAATGTCGAACTGAACCCTTTAATTCGCTCATTGGGGTAGACTGTTCTAGTTCCAGGTGCCATGTCTAATGGATGTCAGTTATCTCCTGTTAATTCCCCTTTCCAAGTTTAACCAGGTATTGAACTCACACTCTTTGACTCCCGTCACGGGATCTAACTAACGCCTTTATCCACTGTGCCATGCCTCAATCTGTTGATCTCTCTCTCAGTCTGTTGATATATGAAGGCTTGCTATCGTTAAATATCGAAACAAGATTGAAAATAACTTTCTCCTCCTCCTTAGGTATGGTGTAGCTACACGAAGTGGAAGCTTCGGATCTGGCACTGGTCAGATTTGGCTGGACGATGTCAATTGCATGGGTAGTGAATCGTCAATCATTGACTGTCAACACTCGGCACTGGGTCATCATAATTGCGGCCATAATGAAGATGCCGGCGTTGTTTGCTCAACACGTAAGTCAAAATTCTGCCTTTTGAATTCAAAGCGTTCAATCAACAAACACGTTTTTGTTAAACACTTTAGGCTAGGATCGCGACCAGGAACTATTATAAAATTCGTTGTCGACACTTCATTAAAATGATCCTATTTACTTGTATATAAATGAATTGCATATGTAAATTGACTCTTTATTTTGACACCCTTCCTGACCTGGCATTTCGGATTCAGTCCCGTTCGAACCGCCATAAGATAACTTCCGTGCGCCTTTTCATGGCAATTGTTCTGATCAGCTTTTCTCTTTGGGATTTCGACTTCACGAATTTAAGCGCAGTACTAGATTGGCAGCTAGGTCTTCTCATTTTACAACTGAAATTGCTAGATGTAGTCGCAAGTTCTGTCGTGATAGTATTTAAAATGACCATATCTTCTTGTATATAAATGAATCGCATGTCTAACTTGACTCTTTATTTTGACACTCTCACCCACCACCATAAACGTCCTGGATATGACGTTAAACTGCATCCAACAGCAAGGCCTCTGATCAGGAGGTTTTGAGGAGCGGGGAACCACCTCTTAATTGCTGGTGTTCCCAGATCCACCCTGACCCGGGGTGGTAGCACCTGTTAGGGTCCCAGTTATGGGCAAATAGTGAACTCCTAGTTTTTTCCAGATTTTACCCACGTCCTGGGTATGGCGATAAACTACGTCCAACAGCAAGGCCTCAGATAATGTTTTCGGAAAAGTAATGCTGCCATCTGTACGTTTAATAGTACTAAAATATATATATATATATAACTTGGCATTAAATGACCTACAGTGGTTGATATGCCATAAAATCCAACCAACCACCACCATAAAAAAAAACATCGGAGGAATCGGAGAGCTGAGTTCACGTTCCAGTCAAATTTACTTACGTGAAATCCACCCCAGTTATAGCTAAATAGCAGGACAGTCTGGGTCCTACAGCCTTGGGTGGCAACTGGTCTAGGAGAAGGACAAATTTTACTGTCGTTAAATGGGATGAGGAGTGGCTTATTAGTTTTAACGCTTTAAAAACGAAACCCCTATCTTTTAATCATTTGCGAAAGTCCTTTTTACATTCAATCAGCATGGGTGATGCTAACCTCCAGGAGAGTGATTCATTGCACCTTCTCGGAGTAACGTTGTCAGCTGGCAAGGAGTGAAAAGATTATATTGAATCAACTGCTAAGTCTGCAGCGAAGAAAGTTGGTTCATTACGTCATGCTTTTCTCTCCAGAATCTATTTTACATATTTATAAATATGTAAGATAGCTATGGTTTACTATTCTTCCTTGCCTTGAATATTGCTGCCTGGTGCAATATTTAGAGATTCATGATAAAATTCAATGAATCTGCAATGTTATTGACCCTGACCTGGCATTTCGGATTCAGTCACTTTGCCATCGCCATAGCGTTCACCCTCCCCGTTCCTTTTTCGATAAATACTTTCATGGTTCAGATGAGCTCTTCGCTTTGGTACCGAAACTTTATGAATTTAAGCGAAGTAATAGACTGGTGACAAGTCTTACCAATCTTCAGTTGATCTAGCTAGATGGAACCGTAAGTTCTATGCTAACAGTTTCTTCTCTCGTACGTCTCGCTTGTGAAACTCCTTTCCGGCTCTATGCTTTCCAGCCAACTTTAATCTGCGATAAATTTAAATACAATGTCAATCGATATCTACCGTCTTCTTGATTACTCTTCTATTGTTCTCGCTTCTTAGTAATGTTTCTGTTTTGCTATTATTCCACGCCTAGTAGCCCCTTGTGACATAGTGACTTTACTACCTTGCTTAACGTAGCTTCCCTGTGACTTTTCTATAAATATTCGCATGTTCTGATAAACTTGCCTAAATAGAAGTTAGACTTTATGAATTTAAGTGCAGTACTAGATTGGCGGAAAGGTCTCATCATTCTACATTTGAAATGGCTAGGAAAAACCGTAAATTCTATGCTAACAGTTTCTTCCATCGCACTTCTCACTTGTGGAACTCTTGCGCATTAATGATCGTGTTTTGTGAGTTGCATTCCAAGTGACATGATACCATTGGTACTCTTAACTTCTACCAAAGGCTGCAGTGCCTCATTTTTAAAGACCGTATCTCTTTGCCGTCGAGAGTGACGTTTCTCCTCCAAGGAGACATAAGATATGATCCGAAAAAAATCTTTGAAGACGCCACAATCTTTAACGAGTTTGGTACGTTACCTCGTAGCCATATTTGGTGTTACTGATTCGGCAGAAAAATAATTAGACTATTCGGCTCAGCCGTTTAGGCATCACTGTCTTTAACCGGAGCCCCCCCCCTCAATGGATAAAAACATTGAAAACACCCAACTTTCAATATGACTTTTTATTCACTTAGGAAATTAAGGATCCTATTAAAACACTAATGGAATAATCTAAATTAAAATCTTAAAATACAAATATTGTATTTCAAAAAATCTTTTAAAAATTACAAAACTATTTAATCTTAGAAATTACTTCTTCATTTCGTAATTATGAACAACATGCTTTAGGAACTCAATAGGATCGATGTAATCTCACTTTTCATGGATCTTTCTGTTCACATCGATACAACTTAGTTTCAGGATCCCTTTTGTTCGTGGCGTCAAAAATAAAAAAGGTATCCATCTTGTATCACTTTGTTTCTTCCACGTTTTGTTAAAATACTTGCTTCCATTTTGGAATAAAATAGCTTTGACGACTGAAAAATATGAAGCTGCACTGAAGGAAATATAATATAACAATACCTCCAACTAATCTTTTACTCAAATATAAAAATGCCTCCAAGTACTCCTTTTCTTATATTTAAAAAAATACCTCCAAGTACTCTTTTTCTTAGATTAAAAAAAAAAGTACCTCCAAGTACTCTTTTTCTTAGATTAAAAAAAAAAGTACCTCCAAGTACTCTTTTTCTTAGATTTAAAAAAAAATACCTCCAAGTACTCTTTTTCTTAGATTTAAAAAAAAATACCTCCAAGTACTCTTTAACAATGAAGTACTAATTTGTCTTTATTTTTTTTTAATGCATTTTAAACCTTAGTTATTGCTTTTTTCTTTTTTCGAGGTACTTATATTCAACCTCTTTTTTCTATCGGGTTACATTAACCAGTTTAAAACGAAGTGTTTGAGTTTTGTTTATTTTGTGTATGTTTGTTTTTTTTTTTTTTTATAAAATTTTAATTAAACAATTTGTATCGTCTCCCCCACCCCCAAATAATATAGCTCATCAGACTTCTCTAATGAGCCCATCTGCATTTCGAAGTGGCGCCTCAAGTACTATAAATATTGTCGATCCTGAAATGTGAAATATCTTTTTTCAGAGAAAAAGAAATTTACAGAAAATCAGACTTCCGTTTGTGTTGCTTTTATTTTTAATGTATTTTTGTTTGTTTCGATCTAATTTCCTAGTGAATTAATTTCGCGATTCTCGATTAAAATTTATTAGTAATTTTCTAATATTTCCTCAACAAGCGTCTTCATAAGTAAGATTATAAAGCCAAAGTACTTAATATTCAATAAAACATTAAAATTCTTAGAATATTTAAGTGATTGATTTCGTTTTATCAACTTTTCGTTGATTATTTAAAGCTGAAACATTTTGCATTGTAAGAATATTTTTTATTTAGGGATTATTGCATTAACAATTTTGTAGAATAACAATGATTTTTTTTCCAAATACAAGTCCTACTATTTAATCCATAGCTGGGGAGAGGGGATGACTTCATACGTAATTTCAAGAAAAATGGGAAATATCCGTTCAGTGACTGGACATTTTTTGGCGGGGGTGTCTTTCAGTTTTCTTGTTCACAACATATATAATTACCGTATTTAACGGCATATAAGTGTTGTAGTGGAACACTCCTATTCTATAATAGACTCTCCCACCTATAATAAGTAGGAATAGTAAGAGTAACGAGTCAGTCGCTCAGTAAGTTGGTCAGTCAGTCGATGCCGGACGACCGTTAGTCGGATACTAAAGTATCAGCGACTACAACTAGATTTCTCTGCGTTATACATATTATATCAAGTTCCTAACGTTGTGTACGTCGAACCTATATTAGGACCGACTTAGTACAAATACAAGCCTCCACTGTGAAATCACTCTATAACAATAAGACAGACCCTAATTTCCGCAGGGCAAATCAAGAAAATTTAGTAATTAGCAACTCTACATATGGCATATAAGACGCAGGGGGATTTTAAGATATTTTTAGTAAAAAAAAAAGTGCACCTTACATGCCGTCAAATATGATACATCAGTTAAGCATTATATAGCGAAAACTTCACGTTAAAATCTCTGTAAGAACTCTATGACAGGTTCTGGATTTATTGATTCGCATTTCTCCAGTAAGAACAGAAGACACGAATTTTTTTTTCTT